ATCTGAGGGGGACATACTGCTTGACGGCATAGGGCAGCTCGTAGCTCCCAGGCACGCTCTGCACGACTATGTTCTCATCCTTGACTCCGGCTTCCTTGAGCTTCCTCTTGGTTCCCTCGAGCAGCGCATCGATGATCTTGGTGTTCCAGCGTGCGTGGATGATGCCGATGCGGAGTCCGGAACCTGTACAGCTTCCAGTCAGTCGCACAGTTGTGGTGGTGGGGGCGGGGTTGCTCGGAGCTTGCTTGCGTACTTACCATCGTACGTCTTGGGGGCGCCGGGGCCTTTGATGGTGGCCATGTTGTCGTTACGCGTGTGGAGGTTTACAGATAGGTCAGGAAGGTGCGATGGGACAGTGGAGTCGCTGTGGTGAAGGTCGTGCGGGAACGGCTACTGGGTGGGCTGAAGAATGCAGGAACGAGCTGCTGAGCACACCACATTGGGAGCCGCCCCGCAACCGAAAGGCAGGGATCCCGCATCGTGCAATGGTGTCATTGCGAGCAGGGGTAAGCTTCCCTCAAACGCCTCGCGTTGATTGCAATGACTTTCTCGACCTGACCCATCAAGACACAGTCACGAAATGGGACAGAGATATTTGAAATTTTGTTCATTCAATCAGAGCATCGCATCGCTCCATGTTCTAGATATCGTAAAAAGTTTCCATGCCATTCCCGTAAGCTACATTCAAGAGCTTTCAATCGTAAATCAAGTCCAAAGCACACCAGCTTCTCTGTCCTAGAGAACGCCATATCCATAATACATCTACTCGACAGTAACCGACTTGGCCAGGTTACGGGGCATGTCAACGTTGACACCCTCGGCAACCGCCATCCAGTAGGACATGAGTTGCAGGGGAACGACGTTGATGAGACCCTGGAGAACGTCGACGTTCTTGGGCACCTCGATTTTGTCTGTCTTGTCGGTGGGGAACTCGGGGTCGTTCTCGTTGCAGATGATGATGGGTCGTCCGCTACGGGCAATGACCTGTTGGTATGCGTTGAGCGACTTGGCGAAGATGTCATCACGGGTAAGGATCATGACGATAGGGAGATTCTCGTCGACCAGAGCCAAGACACCGTGCTTAAGCTCACCAGACATGACCGCCTCGCAGTGAAGGTACGAGATCTCCTTGATCTTGAGAGCACCCTCGAGCGCGGTAGCGTGCTGAGAGCCACGGCCGAGAAGCAACAGGGACTTCTGGTTCTTGAACCTCTCGCAGAGCTTCTTGATGGGCTGGTCGAGCTTGAGCACCTCCTTGAACTGGTCGGAGATCTTGGTGAGACCCTCGATGATCTCCTCCCGCCTCTTCTGCTTGGATGCACGGTCCTCACTGAGAGAGAGCGCGAACATGACCATGCAGACGAATTGCGAGGTGTAGGCCTTGGTGGAGGCAACACCGATCTCGGGACCAGCGTTGATGTGCACACCGCAGTGGGTGAGGAGAGAGATGGAGGAACCGACGGTGTTGACGATACCGACAGTCAGGGCACCGCGCTCCAAGCAGTAGCGGAGAGCACCCAGGGAATCGGCAGTCTCACCAGACTGGGAGACAAAAACGCAGGTGTCGTCACGGAAGACGGGTGCCTGACGGTCAAGGAAATCGGAGGCCAGCTCAACGGCAATAGGGATCTCAGTGAGCTCCTCAAAGATACCACGGACAGCCATGCATGAGTGGTACGAAGTACCGCAGGCAACGAAGATGATTCTCCTGCATCGCCTGATGGTAGAGAGGTATTGACGGAGACCACCAAGGGTGACGGTCTTGTTGACAGCATCGAGACGACCACGCATGGCGTTGACGACGGACTCGGGCTGCTCGAAAATCTCCTTCTGCATGAAGTGGTCGAAGCGGCCCTTCATGATCTCCTGGAGCTGAATCTCAAGAGTCTGGATGGTACGGACGTTGGACGAGCCATCATCCTTGTGCAGACGGTGAATGTTGAGGGAACCCTCGTGGATGTGTGCAATGTCGTCGTCCTCGAGGTACAAGACCTTCTTGGTGTGCTCGACGATGGAGGAGGGGTCGGACGAGAGGAAGAACTCGGTGGGCATCGGTACGCCATCGTCGGACAGGAAAGCGCGCGATTGCGATCGGTGGAGGAGCGACTTGTCAGGGGGAGCGAGCAAGTTGTTGGACTTCTTCAGCGCAACGTTGTGCGAGGCGCTCTCAGCGGGGAGAGCAGCACCCTCGTCGTTGTACTCGACATCGACGAAGTCGACCTTCATCTTCTTTTGTGTTCGTACACCGATGACGAGGGGAGAACCCTTGCGGGCCGCAACGACCTCGTGAGGGTAGTGGACGGACTTGAGGAGAAGACCAAAGGCACCCTGGAGCTCCTTGATGACGGCCTTGACGAGCGATGGGAAGCTCAGGTCGGGGTGCTCGGTGTAGATGTACTTCGTGAGCTTGGCAATGGCCTCGGTGTCGGTTTCAGTCTCGAACTTGAAGCCCTTGCTCTCGAGCAGTGTCTTGAGCTCCTTGTAGTTTGTGATGATACCATTGTGAACGACGGAGAACTCCCAGTTGGGGTCGGACCTGGTGGGCGATTAGTGCGTGCTCTAGGTGGTGAAAAGAACGTGGATGTGACATACCTGTGGGGATGGCAGTTGACACGCGATGGGGGACCGTGGGTGGCCCATCGGGTGTGGGCGATACCGGCGTGCGAGTCGAAGACCTTGTTGAGGTCGAAGTTCTGCTCCTCAACAAGCTTCTTCAGCGAGGCGACCTTGCCGACCTCCTTGACGGCGTAGACCTCATTCTTCTTGTCACCGTCAATGGCAAGGCCAGCCGAGTCGTAACCACGGTACTCTAGACGTTGCAGACCTGAGGGAACAGCGTGTTAGTGATCGCCCTCCAGCCCCACCAAACCACTTCCGATTCCGTGGAACGCGCGTCTGGGGCAGCGGCTGCGGGAATGCTTACCATTGATGAGTGTGTCGAGAATGTACTTCCTGTCCTTCTCCACCAGGTAGTTGATGTAGCCGAAGATACCGCTGCAGACACCGTCGTTAGCCCGTGTCCAGAGCTTTGCTGTAGCTTTGGCAGCTTCGCATAGTGGGGCGGCGGGGACTTACCACATGGCGACGAAACGAAAGTAGGGTACTGAATATGAATGGAAGCGATTGTAAGGCAGTCGGAGTTAATTGGGCTTTGGCAAGAAAGTAGGGTGTGGGGGGAAGCAGACAGGTGTGTGAGCAGAGAAAGAGCGGTGGTGTGTTTGACTTATATCTTCCAGGGCCAAGCACTGAGCATGCCCCAGCGACGCCCTTCTCCACCCGGCCTGGCTAGCCTCGCCAATGCAGCGTATCGCACCCGTCTGTGACGCCGCTCTACCACCCTTGAATCTCGCCCTCGTAGCCCTGGGACCCTCTGCCACGCCCTCCATCCCACTGCCCGTGCCTGTCCCTCACTGTCCCCTATTTCGTCATGTCTCGTGGAATCATCCTGGTCCATCGGCTTCCGCGATGCTGCCAGCCAATAGCCCCCGCTGCTGTTCCCGACCTGATCGCCCGCTATCCATCGTTTCTCAGGGACCAAGAGGCGCAGCACCTCCAAAATAGCAACGCTAGGCCCGTTCCTCGACTATTTTCATGTCAAGATGCCAGAAATCTTCTCTTCGCAATGCTACACCGCGGCCACTATGCCACTCGCGTCCTGACGGGCGCCGCATTCGCCGCATGCGAGGCCTCAAGCTCGCCCAAAGACTGTGCTTATGGATAGGTTTCTAATTCTGCTTCATCGTTCAATATCTTGGATCCGCTACGTCAGCGCGGGTACGGCTCCGAATGGGGAAGCCAGCGCCGTGCGTCACGACTTGACATCTCGTGTAAACTCTGTTTGGTGATCTTCTGCTGATATGGTCGACAGCTTGGAGAAAACCGATATGCCAAAACAAATCATGGCAGATGGGTGGAACCCAGTCGCTAGCTGCACCATCCGTCCCACTAACGGCGCAGGTTTACCCGCAATGTGCTCCCCACCGTGTGCAGTATGTCTGAATCAGACGGTGAGAAGCAATATCGTCTGGCCCTGCAGGTCTGCATTCACGCATGAGCGCCAACAACGCACACCTCACAGGAGCCAGAGAATGTCTTCAACCCGTTGTGACCGATGCTGCCAACGAATCACGCACTGGAACTACAAACGTGGAAAATAGAGCTGAGACTTCGGGGCGTGTACGTCTACTCAACTGCATCTGAAGTCGAACAACGGTGAGCACCTTGTAGCTACTGCGCGCTTGTTCCGCTCTGGCGAAAAGCTTAGTTTACCTTTCTGCAGGTGTGAGCTCGACTATAGGAAAGCGTGCCGACAAGAACCTTTGGCCTGCGTCCGTTGGGAACGTCTGGATGCCTTAGCAGTTCGATTGTCTTGACCGCCTCTAAATTGCCATCCATACCACAAACACGGCATCTGAAACCCCACCGTAAGTGGCGTATACGAACATCAGCCGCACATGCACGCCTTGACAACAGTTGTGCCGTTGCATTCGTGCCGACTCCTCATTCCGGTCTTTCCGCGCCCTGCATGTACTTCGTATCCTACTCGCCAAAGGTTGCACCAGTATTGTATCGTCTCGTATCGCAGCCCTGGTCAGCAGCTAGGTATCCGCTGCATCTTCGGAGAAATAAACACACCATTTGCCTCACCCCGTTTCAGATGCTGCTTGCCGTTTTAAGGACACATCACAGCATTGAACACGCCCAAGCACATATGCAACGTTTTCACACTTATGTCACAGTGCAGTTGACATTGAAAAGCAAAAAGAGAGACTAGTCGGGTTCTACAATAATTCAGCTATGTGAGAGCTCGAGCCTAGCCGCTTCTACTCATCCGAACATGCACGTGGACTAGACCGCGTAAAAGTGCGCCCGAACCCAAACCTGCCTAGCGTAACTTCTATGATGGAAGATAACCAAAGATGAGTGTTGATGTACATCGCTGAAATGCTACATGCAATGCAAAACGAGAGATAAGGCAATTTGCGATCAGGAACCGTCGACTACCGGCTGTCACAGTAGCCGGGAGCCTTGGGAGCACCTCCGTGGATCCAGCTCTGGACAGTGAGAGTTGTGGTATATACCATGCCAACTGCACCGATGATGCAAAGCAGTACGTCCAATACACGCGCAGTGGTTGTGCGCGCGACAGCCCGGTAATGGAGCATGGGCTACATATCATTAGCAATGAGCAAGTCAGAGGAGGAAATATGCTTACAGGATAAATGAAGACCAACGGAATGCAGGCAAAGCTTCCTACCAGACTGACAAACTTGTCCAAGTCACCCGCACCGGCCCAAGCAAGGCAAGCGCACACCAAGACCATGAAGAAGCGGAAGAAGTTCTTCTTCCACTTGACGTACGGGTTGTACTTGCCCGTCCTGCTGAACAACTGCTGGCTGGTAATCTCGATTGCAGGGTAGATCTGTAGTGGCGTAGACAACAAAATGGCGAGCGAGTAGATGAACTGAACACCATTGACGAATCTGTTATCCTGAGGCATGTTGAGAAGTACCACAGTCTTCGTCTTGGATCCAAACGCTGCGTAGGAGAGGGCTCCGGCGCTGAGGAAGATGACGGTGATGATAATCATGACACCTCCGAGAACCTTGGGAAACTTCTTCGGGTCTTTCATACCGGTCTGAATGGGGATGATGAGACCGATACCTTCGAATGTGAAGATGGCAGTACCGATGAAGAGTGTCCAATCCTTAGCGTTGAAGTTGACGATGTCGGAGACGCCGCCTTGGTCGACGATGGTGAAGAGGTCATAGTAGTACAGATATACAAGACCCATGAGGATGAAGAGATCAGCCACCAATGCAAGCTTTTGAATGTTGTTGATGTTGCGGTAGAGCGACAAGGGCAAGAAGATGACCATCTGCATCATGATCATGTACTTGATGTCGATGAAGGTCTTGCAGTTGGAAACCGCAAGGACGAAGGCTTGCAGGTTCTCAGACACAAAGACGATGTAGGCAGAAGAGAAGCCTATCTGCGATATGACAAGCGAAGAGTTGATCATGTTGCGCATCCAGTTTCCGTAGAGATGAAAACCCATGTCACCGAATGAGTGCTCTACCACAAGACGGGTAGAGACAAGCAAGACAAAGCAGGCATATGAGAGACCCGCGACACCGAGGAGTACCATATTGGAAAACAGCATACCGCCGTTGAGGAAGGCTCGGGGCAGGAACAAGACACCTGTGCCAACAAACGACTTGAGGAGCAGCATGGCTGCACCTGTGGGGCTACCAGTGCCCGTCTTCTTCGCTTTGCGCTTTCTTCGCTTGCCGGGGGTGAGTAGTGCGCTCGATTCGCCATACTCGCGGTCTTCGTCTTCGCTCTGCGCGCCGGAATCCAGAGCATCAGAGGAGAAGTATTCGTCTGGTCCTAACACCTCGTCATCTTCTTCGAGAGATTCACCGGCGAAGTGGCCGTATAACGTGAGGAACTCCAAGAAGTTGCTGGTAAAAACCTGCGGCTGCGGACGCACCTGTCGGACTGTTCCATAGCCAGACGGGCCTGGGCCGGGTGAGGGACTCCCAGCGGCTCTGCGCAAGTAGTTTCGTCTGAAACCACCAGGCTGGCGAATGGAGTCAATGTCGAGTGCTTCGTCTTCAGGCCGACGTCGCGAACCGTGGAAGCTCTTGCTACGCTGCAACTTGCCCTGCTCTTCCGCCGCCTGCTGCTCGCTCCACCTGTAAATTTGTCGCGTGATGTCGCCGCCCTGGAGTTGCAGGCTCGAAAACTGCTCCTCGTCTTCCTCGGGCCTCGTCCCAGTTGATTGGGCATCGTCATCGCCTATTCTTCCACGATTTGACCTGCTTGGTGAGGCATAATGACCTACCAGATGCCGGCGCACGATCTCGGGGTCTTCGTACGGCACAGGAGAGCGACCGCGGCCGTCAAAGGAACCGTAGTTGCTAGGCGGGCCACGAGGAGGCGCGTCTTGAGCGGGGGACAGTGGGCGTATCGGAGGTGTGCCGAACCGTGGGGGTGAATTGCCCAGTGACTCTTTCAGCGCTGAAGAGAGGTTCGACTCGGCTGGGCCGGGCAGCGACGACTGCGGATCTGCGCGTCCAGGCAGGGGTGTCTGTATTGACGACGAGTTTGCCGTCTGGGTCTGGGAGGGTGTTGGTATTTGGCGTACGGCAGGTGTGCCGTTGGGTAGGGAAGGAACGGGCGAGCCCCGTCGCGCGATAGAGCCTGCACGAACAGACTGCGTATCAGGAGAACTTCGTCGAGATTCTCGCGACGATGGCACCGCCTGTGGATTCGTCGAGGTCGAACGCTCACCCGACATGTTGGGCTGCGTGTGTGGTGTTGTGGAGCCGCAGTGAACTTTGTGATAAGAAACGCGAGCTTCGGCTACCTGCGTCTAACGTCGCAAAGGGAATGCTGAGCGATAAAACAAGCTCCGGGTGGTTATATGAATGGCGTGGCCAGTGGATACATACCGCGAGGCCCCGAGATGCTACGCGTGATGTACAGCAACAAGAGGGAGACGCGCAGAAGAAGCAAGGAAAGCTGAGTCGGGCTGCTTCGAGGCCTGTGCCGAGAGGTTGAGGTCATCCGTCGATTCGCTGGAGAGATGTGGCGCCCCACGCGCGGGATGACCATGTCACACCGTTGGAAGCCCTGCATCTTTCCACCGAGAAGCGAGCGCTAAGCTGCCAAGTGAAGCATAGCAGAAGACTTTACTGTTGGCGATGTAGATGCGGCGTCATCGCTCCTCGGATGTGTTGCCCTGTCGTTGCCCTCAGCTGTTCTGTCCATGTCTCGCTCCTACACCTCAACATCTAACGCTCATCCGCGCATCCCGTGCGCGGCCTGACCGGAGCCGCAGTGACACCCCGTGCCACGAACACTGAACCAGGTTCCCGATGCCGAGACCATGACGAATGCGGAGGACGACCAGACGACCAGGCTTACCCTGCCGCGGACACGCTCCAATTTTGCAACCCGTACAGCACGAGATGAGAGTGCGCGATTGCACCGACGCTCTTTCGTACAGCATTCACCACCACCTGACGAGGAAACACCGCTCCTGCCAAGCAGTGGACGCCAGCTTCCAGCTGATGCCGATGTCTACGATGGCGGTCAAGGGACGGGAAACAAGCAGAGAGGGATAAGCAGCTGGTTCTCGAGCATCCTCCATACTTCACGATCCAATTTAGCGAAGGAGCCAAATAATGACGGCAAACGACACTCAGTCAGCGAGACCGCCAAACCAAGGCCTGGCGCTTTCCCCAGGCCCGTTGGAGGTACCGACAAACTAGGCACTTTTGCTGGAGTGTTCGTACCGGTAACCCTCAATGTCTTGTCGATTTTGATGTTTCTGAGATTCGGCTTCCTCCTTGGTCAAGCTGGCTTGATTGGTATGATGGGCATGCTGATAGCAGCTTATGCCATCAATCTCTTGACCACGTTGAGTATCTCTGCTGTCGCTACCAATGGTACGGTTAGAGGAGGAGGCGCCTACTACTTAATCTCCCGTAGCCTGGGGCCAGAGTTTGGTGGATCGATCGGCATCGTCTACTATCTTGGCTCAGTATTCAACACTTCGCTCAACGCCGTCGGTCTCATTGATTGCCTCATCGAAAACTTCGGTAGCAATGGAGGCAACATGGCTGAGTGGCTACCTCAGAGCTATTGGTGGCAGTTCCTCTGGGCTACGTTGGTTCTAGCCGCATGCACACTTATCTGTCTTGCTGGAAGCGGCCTCTTCGCACGCTGCAGCAACGGCCTACTACTTGTTCTTTTGGTCGCGACTATCAGTATTCCTCTATCCGCTGTCTTCAGGCCTCCGTTCGAGAACCCGAAAGAAGACATTGTGTTCACAGGCCTCAGCATGGACACGTTCCGTCAGAACTTGCTACCCCACTTCACGCGAGGAGCTGCGGGAAGTGTCGATCATCACCGTGAGAACTTCCAAGATCTCTTTGGTATTCTCTTCCCGGCCACAGGAGGGATTCTGGCCGGTGCAAGCATGAGTGGCGACCTCAAGCACCCAAGTAAAGCCATCCCAAAAGGGACGCTGTACGGCATAGGTCTGACCTTCATTCTTTACACACTCGTCATCTTCGCCATGGCGGCATCAATAGCACGCGAAACTTTCTACAACAACACAAATGTTATCCAGCTCACCAACATATCTGGTGCAGTCGTGCTTGCTGGCGAGATGGCGACGTCCTTGTTCTCGGTACTGATGGGTGTTATTGGTTCAGCCAAGCTCCTCCAGGCTCTTTCTCGCGACAATCTTATTCCTGGACTTTCGATCTTTGGTCAGGGCACGAAAAAATCCGATGAGGTAGGATGTCTGCGATTATCTTTGCTGTATCTATACTAACCACGCAGCTTTGTTTACACAGCCTATCTACGCCATCATCATTACTTTCATCATCGCTCAAATTACCATGTTTGCCGACATCAATCAGATTGCTTCTTTCATTACAATGACGGTTAGTACTCTCTACCGCTCTGCTAATCGGCATGAAAATTCCATCTGTTCGAGTTGTAACATGCTCTAGTATCTCATGACATTTCTCGTCACCAACTTGGCCTGTTTCTTACTCAAGATCGGGTCTGCCCCAAACTTCCGGCCCTCCTTCCACTACTTCAACTGGCCCACAGCTGCTGTTGGGACGGTTGTCTGTGGAGGTACCATGTTCTTCGTCGACGGCTTCTATGCGTCTGGATGTGTAGCTCTGCTCATGATCATCTTCCTGCTGATTCACTATACCACCCCACCTAAGCCATGGGGTGATGTGAGTCAGGGTCTCATCTATCACCAGGTGCGAAAGTACTTGCTGCGCTTGCGCCAAGAGCATGTCAAGTTCTGGAGACCCCAGATCTTACTCTTAATCAACGATCCGCGGCGGCAGTATAAGTTGATCCAGTTCTGCAATTCGCTGAAGAAGGGAGGCCTCTTCGTACTTGGGCACGTCATTGTCTCTGATGACTTCGGGGAAGCTGTGCCAGAAGCTAGACGACAACAGCAGTCTTGGACAAAGTATATCGACTTCTCCAGGATCAAAGCGTTTGTGAACATCTCTATATCTCCTGCGGTCGAGTGGGGCGCTCGCAACCTCGTTCTGGGTGCAGGGCTAGGTGGCATGCGGCCAAACATAGTTGTCATGGGCTTCTACAACCTACCTGAGATGAGGCAAGCGCAGCCTTCCATCGGCATACCTTCGCCCCAACCATCACGCCCATCCAGCAAGGCCACGAACCATCCCATCTCTCGGAAAGCAATCCAAGCAGCAGCCAGGCGACGCGTCACAGGAAACACCCATAGTATGCTTCCCACCGATGCTATGAAACCAGAAAATGCAATTGCTATACGCAGTTATGTCACTGTAATCGAAGATCTGATTCTCCGGTTGCAAGCAAATGTCGCTATAGGCAAGGGGTTCCAGGAACTCGAGGTGCCGCCTACCAAGCCTACGGTGAAACAAAAAGCGTTCAGCTTCATGGGTCTTAATGACATTGAGATCGAGGATTCGTCGAAGAAGTACATCGACCTCTGGCCGATACAAATGTCAGCCGAGGTCGCTACTACTGGCGATGAGCCAATCCGCAAGAATGTACTGACCACGAATTTCGACACTTATACACTCATCCTGCAGCTTGGATGCATCTTACACACGGTACCGTCTTGGAAGCGCATGTACAAGTTGAGAGTCTGTGTTTTCGTGGAGTATGAGACGGACGTCGAAGAAGAGCGTAGTCGCGTTACCACTTTGCTGCGTAATCTGCGCATCGAGGCTGAAGTCCACGTCTTTTGGTTGTCCTCCGGAGATTTGAGCATGTATGAAGTCATCATCAACGGAAGAGATGATGGTGACTTTGATCAGACTGGTCGTGATATCGATTACTCACTGGAAGACGAGCGATGGTGGCAAGACATCAAACGACTGCGTCAGCCCGAGAGTTTGAGTGCTAGCCAGGAACTAGCACAGACTGTCGATATTCTTGAAGCCGTCACCAGTTGGCCTATTGCCTCGTTCCAACATGGTAGACAAGAGACGAACCCAAAGCGCTTCTCAGCCCTGCGCAAGATGCTACGTAAAGCAAAAAGTAGAACGTCTGTTGGCAATCTTGGGGATGGGACAAGAGCCAAAATGCAAAGCCAAAGAATACCTGCCCAGCTACTTGAAGACAGCGATAGCGACACTCAGCCATCCTCAGCCGGCGGAAGGGAAGACGATGCTGATGACGAAGCAATGGCTTCTGATAGCGAGGCAGTCATTAGTGGCAGCAACTTCGACGAATACGACTTGGATGCATCGAGTGATGAGAGTGATCAGAACGGGCAGAGAATGTCACTAAGAAGACGAAAAACGGCACCCAGCACCTCTTTTTTCACCAGGCAGCTGGATCTCCGTAAGGCCATTTGGAAAAGTCCGCAGAAGGACAGTACTTCGCAGAAAGATGACCGGCCGACCACACAATCGGTGACACCACTCAAACCGCACCCAGACGCCGTCGCCTCTGACACAGCTATTCTTCACGCCGGAGAGCGAGCCAAGTCCCAAAGTGTAGCCAGTTCATCCTCTCAGCGCTCTGGATCCTCACGAGCAAGAGCCCCTGTGAAACCGCCCACAATGCGCCGGCAGTCATTACCAAAGTTCACATCAAATCCAACTCCCCGAACAGCGATATCTTCAGAAGAAACAACCGGCCCATCGATAACATTCGTCGACACGCCCAAACCAACAACAGCCAACAAACAGGACCCCATCCTGACATCCGGCGAGCCCTCCCAACTCGCCGCAGACAGCTCGCCAGCAACCTCCAGTCCCCGCTCAGCCGCAGCCTCGTCCCATCAACCTCTCGACACGGGTACCGCCTCCCCGGCCTCCGGGTTTCCCGCCCAACAAGCCATTCCTCTCTCCTTCAACGACCTACCATGTCGCGCTCAACATCTCATTCTGAACGAACTTATACGGAAGCATTCTGAGGAAACAGCGGTCGTTTTTACTACGCTTCCTAGTCCCATGGAGGGTACTTGTGAAAGTGAGGCAGAGAGTGTCAAGTACATTAGCGATTTGGAGGTCCTATGTCAAGGCCTACCACCGGTGCTATTGGTGCATAGTAATAGTATGACCGTTACTATGAATTTGTAGAAAAACCAGAGTTTGAAGAGAGAGGTAGAACGGAAGTTGTGTAATTTAGATAAGCATCGAGACGCTAGTAGATCACATCCCATGGAATTGATACATAACAATAAAGTCGCAAGACCGAGGTGGTGGTATCATTAATGCTACAACTTGAAGTCTAAACTACTCGCTATCATCCTCGCTATTCGACATCTCTGCGTCTTTCTCAACGACCTCTTCTTCCTCTTCATCCGGCTTGCCTGTCATGGAGAAAGCCTTCAGACACGTAATCCTGGTACCGGTCGAATAGGTTCCAAGCAGCTTACCGACCTGCGCCGCTGTAAAACCCTTTGCCTTGCCAGCATCATCGCTCTTCAGCTCGTCCGTGCTCAAGGACCAGAAGCGCACTGTGCCATCGCTGCTACCAGTGACGATGAGGAAACTTGTTTGCGAGAGCTGAACGATTTCAAAGTCTTTGACACGGCCCGTCATACCTGCTGCTGGACCACCGATCTGAGCGACTAATCTGCTCGCGGGCACTTCTTCTTTGTTCTTCTCTGACGACTCAGTCGGTATCGTGGTGTTCGTGTCGAAGAGAAGAACGCGGCCATCCTCGGTTGAGACGAGTA